TGCAAATTTCAGCAATCAACCAATCAGAATTATACACCAACATCCCTATTGTCATATATGACTCATATGTTTATCTACGAGTGATCAAGTCATAAATAAAACTAAGCATAAATATCAGATTTATTGCATAATTTAGAAACAAGAATGTAATTCATAAGAATAAACAAACATCAACTAAGAACTCATTGATTCTGTATCTTCCTAACTACTAACAGAAATTTAGCTATGCATAATTATAAAAACAAAATTAAAAGATACTAAGAAACTATAAAGATTCATAAAAGAAACATAAAACCCGATCTCCACGGTGAAGCTTTGACCGTTTCTCCGCTCCTCAGGTCCGGAACAGAGCTTTTCCCTTTCCTAAGTCGCAACCATCATGAGCTCTGCTGTCCTCCGTCTTCCAAATTCAAGAATAAATGGAATGAGCCCAACGTGCGTTTTTATAGAAATAAAAATTGGCTTTTTAATTTGGACCAGACTCGCTGAGGATTAATTTTGATTAATTCTTTATTTTTCTTGATCCTTATCCTTTGCAACTGCCTTTATCCTTCTTGATTGCAATTTGTTATTCTAGTGTGAAACAACCTGAAACAACAACAAAGATTAGGATCTTATCCATTTGTTTGCAGTTTACTATCTTTTAATATTTTATTAATTAACATTATATTTTTAGTTATTTTAATTATTATTTGAACTCTTTTTAACCATAAAAACATAGTGTCTTGGACACTTATCAAATCATTCCCAGATTTACTCATTGCAGTCCTTAGCAATGAATTGAATTAAAAACATGGAATAATGTAAGCATGCTTAATATAAGACTAGGCAGTATATCAATTTAAAAATGATCAGACTTAGGTTCAAAAATAATAGAATTTTTAAGAACAAACAATTAGCTAAGCAGCCTTAAAAGTGAGCAAGTTATAAAATCAAAGTATGAGTTCAGTCAATCAAGCATAAAACTGAGTTTTAACACATCCCTCACTAGATATATCAAGTCATTCATCACTCATCTGTCTAAGGGTAAGTGTTTCACTCAAATTTTCACTGTATCAATATTTTCATAAGCTTGATAATATTCTCACTTTCCACAGTTAATTCATATGCACAAAAGATCAAGAGGTCTTTATTCAGGTTGTAATGGGACTGGGTTAAAGATAGAAAAATTAAGAGAAAATTAGCTATAACATTGGAACACAGAAAGATTATAGTAAAGTGTAAACATTTTTCTCCTTTCTTTCCTCCTTTTTCTTTTTCAGCACTTTTATTTCTTTTTCTGTATTTTTATTTTTCAACCTCCAATACTTTTCTCTTTTTTCATTTTCATTTTCATTTTTTTTAACACTTTTATTTGCATAGAAACAATAAATATTTTTATTTTTCACCACTTTTCAACCTTTGCTTTTGCTCCATTCACCTAACCTCTTTTTTCACCACTTTTGAATTACATGATGAAGTACTCATGTTTACACCCTACCATGAAATTTCTATAATCCAATCTTACTTAAGGTAGATGTGTATGTGGAGTGGCTAATTAAGACAACAGGTATTAAGAACATAAAAGGCTTAGGCTGAAGGGACTAAACAAAGAATATAATAATGGTAAGCTTTTTGGTTAAGTAGCTAAAACAATAAAATGCCTCAATCATTTCAAACATGCATGTAAACAACTATTTCAAGGAGAAATATAGCAAGTTCTGGTAATATTTTCAACAATGAAATGCACACTGAAAAGAAATTTTCTATTTAGGCTCAAACCTCACGGTTATATGTGTGCAATTCAGTAATTTATGCTCTTTCTCAATCACTTATACTGTAATTTTATTATTCTTACTGACTCTTAGACTAACTCAATCAATGCTTATTCCTAAAATAAAACATTTTCTAAGTCATCACATCATAAATTAATTTTTACTGACTAATTCTTACTTGACTGATTTAATAATTCAGAGAGAGAAAAGAAATAAAATAAAATAAAGAGGAATAAGGAAAATAATTTTCCCTGTTTTTCTGAAAAAATTTGCAGCTCTTCACATCTTCACAGGGAAGTCTGACTGCTACTGTAATGGTGGTGCTCCCCATTCCCAGATTTAGAATTTTGTTGTCTTCAGCAATGGACTACACGTAAGAAACAAGGAGCACGTAATAACAACAAAAATAATAAGTAGCATCAGAAAATTGTCAAAATACATCACCATGGAGCTCAGAAATTAAAACTAAAGAAATAAAATAAAATAAAAAGAACAAAGAGGAAACTAAAAAATAAAAATTAAAAAAATCAAAAACAAGAAAATATGTTGGGTTGCCGCCCAACAAGCGCTTAATTAACGTCATTAGCTTGACGTTGACAGATGATCAAGGTGGCTTGTAGAAAAGAACCAAAGCTGCCTTTGTTCCCTTGGTCATAGTCATCTTTTTTGTTTTCTTTATCTTAACCTTGGGTTTGCTTTTAGTTCTTAATAGATGAGGATTTTCGAGTCTTGTTTTTCCTTCTCCTTTGTCTTCACCAAATTGTGCATGTAAATCAGAGGAGAAGGATGTAAGTAATGGAGAATTAATTATAAAAGCAGCAATATTTATCTGGTCTCCATCCTCCTCGTGAATCACTTCATCTTTCAGCTCAACTACCACTGGATTTGTAATGACCGTGAACGGTCCTTCTAGAAAGTGAGAAATAGCGGGGTCCTCATCCATATCAATGACTGCAAAATTTTCTGTGTATTTAAAATTTCCCGCTTTGACTAGCACATTTTCAGCAATACAAAAAACGCTTGAATGGTGCGATCAGGAAATTGCAGAGTCATCTTCGCGGACCTTATATGCTTGATTCCCATTTTCTCCAATAAGGTCATTGGCCTTTGATTCACAGTGGTCTGAACATCATATAAAGTTTGCTCAACGTATATGTCTGCCATAAGGGTGGGAATGTCAGTGCTTCTTTCATTGGATGCCTCAGTTGAAATCAAAAGATTAGTTTCCTCGTAATCTTGCTCGTTTGAAAATTTCATCTCTAGCATCTCATAGTTTGCATCCTCTTCAGTTCCATATTCCTCCATTTCTAGTGCTTTATCATGATACTGCAGGAGGGTAATCTTCATTGGAGAGGGGGTTTCTTCCGCATAAATTTCATCCACTCGCTCTTCCCCCTCTTCAGAATATTCCTCAACTTTGGATTCTTCTTCTGCAGCAGATTCCTCCTCGATTTCGGATTCTTTAGTAGCTTTCTCCAAATATTGATCCTTCAGGTGCGAATTTCTTTTAGCATATTCAGTGAGTTGCTCAGGATCTCTGACAGATGCCTCTTGGTTTTTTAACAAGGTTCTCATTTCTAGTTTAAACATTGTCTCCGCTTCAATCACCCGTAAGAGTGACTTTTCCCAATGGGAGAGGGTATTTTGTTGTTTTATACACTGCTCTTGAGTTAGAATGTATGACTTCTCATTGACTCCTTGCTCAACTACTGGTTGGGCATTGAGTTCCTGATATTCATCGTAAACCGCTTTCTTGATCAGCGCTAGAGCTTCTTCAGGTTTCTTCAGATAAAGTGGCCATCTAGCTGCTAGATCTAACTTTATTCTTGAAAATGGGCATAGACGATTGTAGAAAGTGCGAGCCACTTGCCAATCTTCAGGAAGGTGATCTGGGTATTTTCTACATAATCCTTTAAGTCTAGCCCAAGCTTGATGTAAATATTCTCCTTCCTTTTGTGCAAAGGAATCAATCTGCTCTTTACCCTTTTTGGCTTTAGATGATAGGGGGTATTTGTTCAAAAACTTGAATTTTAGGTCCTCCCATGTAGAGATGCTTCGTCGAGGTTGAGTCTTCAACCACGTCTTAGCTCTATATTTTAAAAAGAAAGGGAACAAATGGACCTTAATGGAGTCTTCAGTGGCTCCTTCTATCCTTATGCCATTGCAAAATTTCATAAATTGATCTATTAGATCATGAGGACCCTCTGCATATTTACCCCCAAAAAGTTTTTCATATTTTATGTTGAGCAATTCTTCCTCTAATTCTAGTGGAATTTCAAATTGATCAACCATGATGTTGACAGTATCTCTTAAAGAACCAAATCTTTTTAATTTTTTATTTATTTAATTTTTTGTTCTTCCTAACTCTAGCTTGTATTGTAAGGACTGGTGTCAACAGTGTCTCGCAGATGCCTAAACCGGAAAAATTAAGGCTCAATGGGTCCAACTAACGGAAACCACTAACTAACAGGAAATTTAAAATTTAAAATTTAAAGCAAACAAATTAAACTAAGAAAATAAAATAAAAAACCAAATAAAATAAATAATAATAAAAATATTAAACTAACAAAGCAAAATAAATGACAATAAAATAAAATGATCCAATCTATAATTTTATAAATAAAATTAATGTTGATTAAATCAGTCCCCGGCAACGGCGCCAAAAACTTGTTGACGAACTCGGCAAGTGCACCGGTCTTTGATTAATTCTTTGTTTTTCTTGATCCTTATCCTTTGCAACTGCCTTTATCCTTCTTGATTGCAATTTGTTATTCTAGTGTGAAACAACCTGAAACAACAACAAAGATTAGGATCTTATCCATTTGTTTGCAATTTACTATCTTTTAATATTTTATTAATTAACATCATATTTTTAGTTATTTTAATCATTATTTGAACTCTTTTTAACCATGAAAACATAGTGTCTTGGACACTTATCAATTATCATTTATGTACTGAATTAAGATAATCTTAATTATTTTGGTATAGTTTTAGGTGATTGAGTCGAATTTTGGCACAAAATAAACTTTATCATAAAAGTCATGTTTTCAAATATTAGAAAATCTCATTAATTTTGTCTTTCAAGCAAATTATATGACGGAATTGGATCTGAAAATCTTTATAAAATTTTTTTAATCGAAACTAAAATCACATCAATCGAATATATATATATATATATATATATATATATATATATATATATATATATTAGTACATAGAAGGGGCTAAGGCCCAAAGGAAACAAAACTACAATGAAAGGGGAGCACAATCCAGCAAGGGATCAAGCTCAGAAGGCGCTACAGGGAGCACCACGAGATTAACATCTAAGTAGAGGGCTTTCTTAGCTAGCCAATCAACACAATTATTACCATCTCTTTTAACATGAGTAAACACCATATGCCAGCTTCTGTTACACATCCGATTTATGCATGTCACCGGGTTATGAGTCGAGTAGGCAACATTAGGCTTGTTGATGGCCTGAACAGCTGTAAGACAGTCACTCTCAACTTCTAGCATAGTAGCCTTCATATCCCAAGCCATCTGGAGCCCCTTGTAAATAGCCCAAAGTTCTGCAATCATAGGGGAGCAAATACCTATCTTGTACATAAATCCTGAAATCCAGTTGCCACTGTTGTTTCTTATGAGGCCTCCGCACGCTGCTGAGGAAGAGGCAGTCTTAACAGCGGCATCCACGTTGAGTTTCCACCAACCCATTGCAAGAGCACACCAACGGGTTTGCTGAGGAGGAGGTGCAGCAATTGCCTCCCTTGAACCTGAAGGCCTACTTAGCATTACGTCTCCAATGTAATCAGATATCAGAATTAAGGGGTCATGAGGTCTGGAAAAGAAAGGGTCATGCGTATCATTATTCCTCCAAAGCCAGAGGAACCAGACTGTAGAGAAGAGGATATCATGCCAATCATAGGCTTGGGGATGGTTCCAGCCCTTAAGGAGGTTCTTCCGGGTCCAGTCTTTCAACGGTAAGGAAAGGAAATCCCGTGGAATGTTACCTGCAATCCAGGCATTCCAAATAGGCAAGGCCAGCTTGGAGTCACGCTGAACATGGGTGATATTTTCAGGGATGATGTTGCATGCATGGCAGAAAGGAGATCCTCCCCATTTGGCATTGTAGTCATTGGTTAGGATTCTGCCATGGTAGATCAACCACATAAATGAACGCAGTCTTTGAGGACCTTGCCAACTCCAGATAGTTTTCCAGATTGGATCCAGGTCAAGGGAGTTGAATTTCATAATATTCGAGTACGCATCCTTGACCACACTTCTATTATTAACGTTGTAATTCCACACCAAACGATCAGGTCCTCTGTCAACGGAGGGAGGGAGAGTAGCTCGGATATGCTGAATCAAGTCTTGTGGAAGTTGTCTAAGGAGGCTCTCAAAGTCCCAGTTACCTGACGGGACACAAAAATCCTCAACCGTAGCATCTGAGTTGCAAATATTTAGGAGCTGAGGAGCCACCTCCATGAGAGGCCTATCAAGCTGAGTCCAAGTATCCTGCCAGAATCAGATATCTTTTCCATTGCCAACCTCCCAGTTAAGCCAGGAGATGAAATCACTCCAGATTCTTCCCACTCCTTTCCAGAGGTTGGAGTCATAGGGTTGGACTTTGATAGTTCTACGAAGATCCATGCTTCTTTCATACTTAAGGACTTGGACCCAAAGGTCTTCACTATTGTTAAGGATTTTCCAAGCCACCTTGAATAAGAACGCTTCATTGTGAGCCTTCAAGTTATGAATACCAAGGCCTCCCATCTGTCTTGGTTTAGTGAGGTTCTCCCACGCAAGGAGGTGCACTCTTTTCCTTTCCACAGTGTCTCCCTACACAAAGGCCCTCTGGATATGCTCGATATTGTTGTAAACTGAGACAGGAAGGGCCCCATGCTACATGTGGTAAGTAGGGATGGTACTCAGCACCGAATTTGCAAGGGTAACTCGTCCCGCGAAGGAAAGCATGTGGCCTTTCCAACTGGATAGCCGAGCCTTTACACGGTCAATGACACTATTGTAGTTCCTCTTTCTCCCACGCCCATGATAAAGCATAGAGCCAAGGTACTTTCCTAGTGAATCAGCCACCTTGAATCCACTAGCCTGAGTAATGGCATCCTGACAGCAAGGTTCGTATTCTTGGAGAAATACATGACCGTTTTTTCAATGCTGATGGATTGGCCAGACATGTCACAGAATTTGTTGAGACAGTCCATCATCACATTTAACTGCTCTAGACTGGCTTCACCGAACAGCACAAGGTCGTCTGCAAACATTAAGTGGGAGATAAGAGGTCTATTTTTTGCTCACCTTCATAGGTTTCCAAGCCTTGCTGCTGACTGCTTCTGTTATTAGGTGGGATAACTTATCCATGCATAGAACAAAAATGTATGGCAAAATTGGATCCCCTTGCCTAATTCCCCTTGAAGGATTGAAATGATCAGAAGCACTGCCATTCCAGAGCACCTGAAACCTAGAGGAGGAGATACAAGAACCTATAATGTGCACAAGGTAGGAGGGGATACCTACTTCGGTGAGGACCTTGTTAACAAAGGTCCAGCTCAGCTTGTCATAGGCCTTGACTAGGTCTATTTTGATGGACATGATCGCCTTCTTCCCCGTCATCCTATTCATGGTATGGGTCATCTCTTGGGCAACAATGACATTGTCGTGTATAACTCTCCCTGGGACGAAGCTAGTTTGAAAGGGAGAGATAAGTTTGTTCATAAAAGGCTTTAATCGATTGACTATTGTCTTAGTGATGATCTTATAGAGGACGTTGCAGAGAGCAATCGGACGCAATTGCTCAACTCTCTCAGGCTTGTCGACTTTGGGAACAATGATGAGAAGTGTATCATTGATCCTTGTAATGTCCTCAGGTTTTTCAAAATACCCTCTGATATCCTTGCAAACCTTATTCTGGAGGAAATCCCAATTCTTTTGATAGAAAGCAGCATGGAACCTATCTGGACCATGGGCCTTATGGGGACCCATTTTCATCTCAGCAGCCTTAATCTCCACATCTGAAATATGTCTGCTAGGAGATTGTTTCTCTGTGTCCTCAAGAGGGGGCCAGTTAACAAGGGTGGTGTACCAGCCTCTAGCAGATTGGTCTTCCAATAACAGTTGGTGATAGTAGTTTGTCACCAAGCTTTTCAAGGCGTTATCATTTCTGATCCACACCCCCATACTATTCTTCAAGGGTAGGATTTTGTTCCTTCTTTTCCTAGCAACAGATGTGGTGTGGTAGAACTTGGTGTTGCGATCCCCGTCCCGAATCCAAGAGACTCTATCCTTTTGGTACCATAATTGCTCCTCAAGATCCAAGGTCTTGTCCAACTCGGTTCTTAGATCAAACTCAAGCTTCTCAAGGAAAGGGTTATGCCTTCTATCGATGCTTCGCTGAATACCTGAGAGCCTCCGCAGGATGGAAGATTTTTTACGAGAGATGATGCCAAAGGTCCTAGTATTCCAGTCTCTAAGAGTTGGGATCAGGTCAATTAGGTTAGTGGCAGTGTCTGTCTCATTCCTCCAATACTCAGAAATGACATTTTTAAACTTAGGATGCTCCAGCCAAGGGGGGAACAGCCGGAAGGGTCTCTCTTCCCACTCAGAGGTATCTTTAAACAAGGAAACTAGGATGGGATGATGGTCAGAATAAATTCTGGGAATGATATGAACCACCGCTTCATCAAACTCCATTCTCCATTGGGAGTTGGCAACAACCCTATCAAGTCTTTTAAAAACCCGCTCTAGATGAGTGAATTTGGGTCCTCTCCGGGTGAACTAGGGACCCGAGCTACCAAGGTCCATGAGGTGACAGTCATCTAACACAGAGGAAAAGGTAGCTCATCTTCTCATATCAACCGGTGCACCCCTTCTCTTCTCATTTGCAGAGGTAATCTCATTAAAGTCCTCATCGAGGATCCAAGGGGCCTTATGGAGCCCATGCAAGCGTCTGAGGTCCTCCCATAGCTCTTTACTCTTTTCGAGGTTAGGGCTAGCATATATGGGAGTGAACAAAAATGGGGTCTTATTAGGGATGGAGATCTGTAAGAGGATGAACTGCGCTCCTTTCTCAATTACCGAAACTGAAAAGGAAGACTGGTTCCACAGCACCCAGATTTCGCCAACAAAACCAACGGCTTCCACGAGGATGGAACTAGAGAACCCCAGTTTGTGGATAATTTTGGATGTCCAACTCACTCTAGGCTCCAGAAGGACAACGATGTCACACTTGTTCTTTCTGATCAAAGTTCCCATAATGTTTTTGAAACGCTGTTTTGCAGCCCCACGACAGTTCCAGACGAAAAGATTCATTGGGTACATGTGGGGGATTGAATGGACTCCTGGGTTCCATCGTACCCGTTGACCTTGATCCCTTCCGTAGGCTGACACGAGTTAATCCTAAACACATTTCTCTCAAGACTGTTGCTTCTCGACCGTTGAGCATGAAAATTCCCTTGCTCATGAGGGACAAAGTTGCTGGTTAAAACTGGGGGCAAAACAGGCTTTTGGGGTAGGAGCGTCTGGTTAACTTACATACAGGAGATGACGTCGTTTAGTGCCCTCTCATTCTCCTCTTGAGGCATGTGCTTCGTAATTGACTGAATCTCCTTCTCCTTTCGTTTTATCTCCTCTAGACTACGATCCTGTCAAGCAGCTATTTTTGTCACCATTGGCATAGCACTACTGTCCCCTTTTTTAAGGTTTGCACTTTCTGATGATTCACTTAGAGATGCTTTATTCTTGACCTTGATGCGCATTCCTGTAGAGCTTTGGGGGGGGTTATTTTGGCCCAATTCTCTGCCCACTGTCAGAGTTTGCTTTAGCATTGAACTTAGCAGCAGAACCAATTGGACGTTTAGCATTGTCCGAGAAGAGGTTTCTTCCTTTAGCTTCTTTTGTTTTTTTAACAGAGGTCAACTCCTTGGACATTGTAATTTTCTGAACAGAAGGAGCCTGCATGCATGGCCCATTTTGTGGCTCCGTTTCTGCTAACACTGCAAACCTTGACTTGTTATGCTCCTCGGGATTCCCACCTGTCTCTTTGCTCCTAGGATCCTGACCGGAAGATTGATGTTGGGGCAGAACCCTAGTGCCTTCCTCCGGTTGAGCTTGTGTCACCACCTTGGGTCTTCTCCCTTTGTGGTGTTTCTGGACAATCATCCACTCCCCAAACGCTTCCTTTTCCTCCTTACCAGTGGGGTTGCTCTCAACTGTACTCTTATGCTTGCTTACTGAGCTGTGATGGTCTGTTGTTTGATTAACAGCACTTTGGACTCCACCACTGCAGGCTTCTTGTCTATGGCCATAACGACCACATCCAAAGCAAATTTGATTTAGTCCCTCGTAAGCAACATTCAAGACTTTGCCCAGCACTTCGAATTGGAAAACGAAGCTCCTCCTGAGATCAACCTCTACCCCTAGCCTTTTCCGTATACTCTCATTCCCCTCCATCATATTTACGGAGCGAGTTTCTGTCAATCTTAAGAGTTTTACCAAACAGATTCCCTATCCTCCATAGGTGTTTGGAGTTATAAAATTCCAGCGGTAGACCAGGGATGCGCATCCATACAGCTAGCCTTTTGACTTGATCATCGTTGTACCACCACGTAATGGTCGAATATTATCCAGGGGCCTTCATGGAGGATATGAAAGTAGTCTTTGTCCTCGTGAAGGTTGATAAGGATATAACCGTTATCAAGGTCAATGACTTCAAAGGCACCCGAGAGCCTCCAGAGCTTTAGCAGGCGGGCCATGAGAAACTTGTTGCTAAGCTTTTTTCCCCCAAAAGTTTGATGATTAGGACCTTCCTCCATTTTTGGCATTCTTCTTTATGTTCACTTTTTGAGAAATGGTACACACGACACAGAGGGTTTGCTTGGAGGACAAGGTTGTCTACCCCGCGTAGCTCTTCATCCTCCTCCTCTCCTAAAAGTGAAGTTGACCAATCCTCATATTCCCTTTCCCCAACTTCCTCACTTCCATTTAATTGCAGAACTATATCCTTATAAGAGACGAGCTTCCTCCCAGTTCCGTCATTTGTCTCTTGGTGCCTCGTTCCTTTCACCCCAGATGGGGCACATGAAGCTCCCATTTCTTGTTGAGGATTCTCCAGCAATGTATCTTCCATATCATCATCTTTTCCACCACCTTCATTTTCTTTCTTGACACTCCGTTCAATCTGGTCCTCTTCCTCTCTCACCGGACCAACCCTAGCAGACTCCATTTGCTTTCTCACTATAAAGGTATTACAGACCGTATCTATCTTAACTAAAACCTTGAATGAATATATTTTAAGTTATACCTGTCGTATGAAATCAAAGAGCATCACCCCCATTCTTTATCAATCATACGGATGGCTAAATCTAAATGTACAAATTTTTGCAAGCTCATGCGACCATCACTCTCCACCGAGGTGCACTGGAGACAGAAACAAATTATTTATTTGGGCTTTTGGGGGCCCAAATAGATGCATTTTTATGCGTAGGTGTGCACTAATTATAAAACGGTAAAAATTATAATTTTAAAAAACTTTTTAAAAAATGGAGTGACAATTAGGATTTTTGAAGGAGAGCATAATATATACTATAGAGGTTCACGAGCGAAATGGGCGAAAACGTAATTGACATGTGAAAACATTGAAATCATCCTAATACACCCTTAGCTTCGAAAATTGAAATAAATCTGGAATGAAGGTGTATGAGTATTATAAACAAATTCCAGTCACCAATTTATTAGTGTGTTATCCAACATTACCTGTGAAAGAAATAACATCTTGAGGATCATGAAAGTTTCGAAAGTCAAGAACAAAAACAATAATATATTAAGTAACACTAGGGGACATACAACGTTTGGTGAGTGGCTGAGTACTGCTGTATTATGGCTCGCTTGGCCGAACCTTAATAATAAAAATAAAAAAAGTAACACTAGGGTAGGGGACATACAGGTAGAAGTAGCTACTTATACGTACGTTAAAAATGGATGTTTGTAGGCAATAATGACAATAGTATTACTGTAATGGGTTAAGAAGTGTCCATCTACATGAATTATGGGGGCATCGTGTGCGATACAAGTAAAGGAAAAGAAAACCTGACGGATAAATTGGAGAATGGGAGTCTAGCTAGCTATCATGCGTAGCTGCCAGAGACACTTGTCAAGGTGAAACAAGTTTGGTTAAACCCACCCACCTGTAATCTTTAACAAAAAAAAAAAAAAAAAAAAAAAAAACAATTTAGGGGAAGATATAATGAAAAAAAAGACTATCGATCTCAAATGCTTTAAGGTGAAATCACACACAGCCTAAAAAAACCCAAAAATAAAATCAAGCCACGGCCCAACCCTTTGTATACCCGAAAAGGTGTTGCTCACACCAACATACCTCGGTGAGCCGAGAGAGAATAAGAGGAATTTGTGTCCTAGCAATATTGATTTGGCATTCTGGTGGGAACCTAAATGATCATTTTTTTTTTCAAACACCTTCAGCTTCAAGATGAACAAATATGCAGCTTAAGATTGAATGCAAAACATGCATTGAACTTGCACAATGATCACAATTAAAGTAAACAAAATAAACACAAACAACCAAACGATGGTAGTTCAGCTGGCAATCATTTTCATTATTATATTTGAAAAGGATTTAAAATTTTAATTCTAATCCGTCTCAACTTTCGGATTAGTAGTCTATAGAAAATATATGAGATTACGAGGGATAATCTAAAAAAAACAGTAAACAATCAAATAAACTATTTGATCAATCTGTTTCCAAAAAAAAAAAAAAAAAAAAAAACTATTTGATCAATCAAGAACAAGAAAAAAATTCCAACAATTAGTCTTATTTTTAGACTAAAAATTAAAAAATAATGGAGAGCTAAGAGGAATCTATATAGTAACATCTAGGCATTCACAACAAAATAATGTGGCTCAGGAATTACATTCACAACCTCATCCCGAATGCTATAATTACAAGATCAAATAAACGACAAGGCAAATGAAGTGCAAGATACAAAGACAAGCATGGCTTTAGATGCTTTTTGCTAGAACTGAGACACTAAATAAAGGAGCTAGGTCAAACCCAATTCCATTGTAGTACATATGGGTAAACAGATGAATGGCTTTGTCCCTAATTCCACGAAATTGAAAACCTGTACTCACTCGAAATTGTTGGAAATATAATAGTAAAAGACAAATTAATGGAGACTGAATAACACTTTCTTATTGAAAAACAACACTCAAAGTTACAAAGACTTTTCTGCACTTTCTTTTCTCAACAGTGCTGTGGCTCTCTTCTTTTTTTTCACTTGATTTTTTTCACATATTGAATACATATAACACCAATCTATTTATAACTTCAATTCAGCCAACGTAATGCTTCTCCAACCGCTTCACCGATTGACTGATTCCACTTACTCACCCATTTAACACATGGATAACACCACACATTACTTAGTCTTAATACATAACACCTGACATCATGACTATTAACTAACCGATTACAACATGCACGGCTATTACATTTACTTAATACAAGGACAGCAATAAAACAACTTGACACCTATTAATTTTACAAACGGTGCAAAGATGAGTTTGGTATTTCTAACACTCCCCTTCAAACTCCATCTTTCATGCCAATCATCTCTTTGAATTTTTGGAATACATTCACCTTCAATGGTTTTGTAAAAATATCTGCTACATGTTCTTCAGTTTTGCAGTAGATTAACTCCACAACTCTATTTTTGATTTGCTCCCGAATAAAATGATACTTCATGTCAATATGTTTGCTTCGGCTATGGGAGACTGGATTCTTTGCAAGTGATATAGCCGACTTATTGTCCACAAATATAGTGATTGGACCTTCTTGTTCCTGATGCAACTCATTCAAAATATTCTTCAACCAAATTGCTTGACACGTACATGCTGCTGCGGCCATATATTCTGCTTCACATGATGAAAGAGCTACCGTCTGTTGCTTCTTTGATGACCACGAAAATATTGTCGAGCCAATATGAAACGCATAACCAGAAGTACTTTTGCGATCAATCGTATCTCCACCATAATCACTATCTAAATAGCCAATCAACTTTAATTCTTCAGAATGCGTGTAAAATAGGCCATGATCTACAGTTCCTTTAATGTATCTCAAAATTCTCTTTGCCGCACTGAAATGATCCTGCCTTGGCTGCTCCATATATCTGCTAATTAAGCCAACTGCAAACATAATGTCAGGTCGAGTAAAAGTCAAATACCTTAAACTCCCGACCAAGCTTTTGTATAGTGTAGGATTTATTGGCTTTCTATCTGAATCAACTTTCATCTTCATTCCTGTTTCTATTGGCGTGGAGACCGACTTGCAATCTTTCATTTTGAACTTACTCAACATTTCCTCTGCATATTTCTTTTGTGAAATAAAAATTCCTTCTCCCATTTGCTTCACCTCTACTCCAAGAAAATAAGATATCTCTCCAATATCTGTCATTTCAAATTCTTTAGTCATTGCTTTCTTAAAATCATAAATCATACCTGGATTATTACCAGTGAATATCATATCATCCACATATAGGCACACAATCATCACATCTCCATCTTTATTTTTCTTTGTATACAACGCATGCTCGTATGGACTCTTCACAAATCCACTCTTCTGAAAATACTCATCTATTCTTGTATTCCAGGCTCTCGGAGCTTGCTTCAACCCATATAGTGCCTTCTTCAATCTATAGACTTTATCTTCTTCTCCTTTTTTAATGTATCCTGGCGGTTGCTCAACATAAACTTCTTCTTCCAGGTAACCGTTGAGGAATGCTGATTTCACATCCATCTGGTATATTTTCCACTTTTGTTGTGCTGCAACTGCTGTGAATAACCTGATAGTATCTATCCGTGCTACTGGTGCAAAAACCTCTTCATAGTCAATACCATATTTCTGCTTATAACCTTTGGCCACCAATCTTGCCTTATATTTCTCTACCTTTCCTTCTTGGTTGGTCTTTGTCTTGTACACCCACTTCACTCCAATTGACTTGTGATCTTTTGGCAAAGTTGTAAGCTCTCACGTGTCATTTCTTTTGATTGCAGCAATTTCATCATTCATTGCTTTCTTCCATTTTTCATCTTTTTCAGCTTCTTCATACATCACTGGATCACATTCCGTCATTAAACAAAATAATGAATAATCAAATGGTATTTGTACCTCATTATAAATTTCATTTAGACTTCTCATCTTTACTGGTGCTCCCCCTGAATTACTGCTACCACTCCCTGATGTTGATGGTGTAGTTACTGGGGTTGTTGGAACAGGACTTGGTGGAGGAGTTTGATCATCTCCTTCTTGAACTGTCTGCTCTTCTGAGTCATCATCATCTTTAAAAAATAAACCTTCAACTTTCTTTTCTTCTTTACTCCATCTCCAGTAATCTGCTTCATCAAATTCTACATCTCTTGAAATTATCACCTTTCTGGTTAGAGGATTGTAGAGTCTGTAAGCTTTGCTCCTATGCTCATAGCCAATGAAAATACATTTTTCCCCTTTGTCATCTAGCTTTTTTCTCCTTTGATCTGGAATATGAGCATATGCTATACAACCAAAGATTTTTAAATGACTTACCTCTGGTTTATAGCCGCTCCATGCTTCGTTTGGAGTCTTAAACTTCACACTCTTGGTTGGACATCGATTCAGCAAATAGGCAGCACACTGAACAGCTTCAGCCCACAACGTTCTTGGTAAGTGCTTTTCTTTGAGCATACTCCTTGCCATATCAAGAATTGTGCGATTCTTTCTTTCTGCAATTTCATTTTGCTGCGGAGTGTAGGCCGTTGTCAACTGATGAATTATCCCATATTGCCTGCAAAATTCTTCAAATATCTTGGAAGTATATTCACCCCCTCTATCTGTTCTGAGTGTCTTCAAATACTGACCACTTTGCTTTTCTGCCATTGCTTTGAACTCTTTGAATTTTGCAAAAGCTTCTGATTTTTCTTTAAGAATATACACCCAAGCTTTTCTACTGAAATCATCAATAAAAGTAATGTAATACCTGTTTCCACCAAGTGATGGAATATCAATTGGGCCAGCAATATCTGAGTGAACCAACTGCAATAGTCTTCTAGCTCTGCATGATTTGCCAACTTCAAAACTTTGTCTGTGTTGCTTTCCTCTCATACAGCTTTCACACAGCTGATCTGGATGATCTATCTGTGGCAATCCGCTCACCATTTTTGCTTTGGATAACAGCTTCAGGCCAGTGAAACCAAGATGACCGAATCTGTGATGCCACAACCACGAACTATCTTCTGTGATGGATTTCATGCACCTTATTGTTTCTGTCTGAATATTCAGCTTGAAAAGACGATTTCTTGACATATCAACTTTTGCAATCAGCTCTCCTTTTTGATTTCGTATGACAAGAGTGTTGTTTTTCAAGTGTATATCATATCCCTTTTCTAAAAACTGGCCAATACTGAGGAGATTGCTTTTCAGAGATGGAATATAATAAACATCTGAGATATATGTCTTACCTCTATTCTTTGTGAAAATCATAATCTTACCCATGCCTTTGACTGGAGTCTTTGATGAATCTCCAAATGTAACCTCTCCTTGAACTTTCTCATTCAGCTCCGTGAACAACTCCTTTCTTCCACACATATGATTGCTTGCTCCAGTATCAAGATACCACACGTTTCTGCTACTATCTTCTTCACCTTCGTAGGTGAATAAAATAGTTGATTCATTAACTCTTTCTTCATTTGATGTAAACTGACTCCTCTCTTCAACTGGAGGCGTGTCTTTACATTCATAGCTGAGGTGACCAAATTTATTGCAATTATAACATTGTATCTGAGATTTGTCACCTCTTTGTTGAAATCTACCTCCTCCTCGAATCATAAATCCTCGGCTTCTGCCACGACCTCTACCTCGTTCACGATATAATTTCCTTGTCCACGTCCATATGCTTCAGTATCATTTGCAAATCCTCTACCTATTTGACCACGTCCACCGCGTCCGCCACGACCACCACGAGTGTTGAATCCACCTCGGGTGTTGAAGCCTCCTCTGTATCCACCACGATTTCCTCTACCACGTACAAAGCTGCTACTGGCTTGGTTTTCATCAAGAGACATCTTGGTCTGCATAGCTTGCTCTATATTACTAGAGCCTTCATTCAACTTCATTCTTTGCTCATGAGCTTGAAGTGAACCCACAAGCTCATCAATTGACATCTCCGTCAAATCTTTGGCTTCTTCAATAGCTGTGACAACATAATCAAATCTTCTTGTTAGAGATCGAAGAACTTTCTCCATGAGTCTAACATCATCCAAGACTTCTCCATTTCTTTTCATCTCCTTAGCCACCTTTTGCACTCGAGAGACATAATCTGTAACTTGCTCTTCACTTTGCATTTTCATGTTTTCAAACTCGGCTCTAAGTGATTGGAGCCGCACCTTTTTAGCTTTGTCAGCACCTTGACAGGATTTCTGTAACGTCTCCCATGCCTCCTTTGATGATTTTGCATCTGATATTTTCTCAAAGGTTGATTCATCAACACCTTGAAAAATTAAGAATAGAGCCTTCTTGTCCTTCTTTCGTGAATCTTTCAGCGTCTTCTTTTGTGCTTCTGATAAAGCTGCTTTAGCGGCAGCATCAGCGGGCTCCGTGTATCCATCTTCTACAAGGTCCCATATATCTTGAGAACCTAGTAGAGTCTTCATCTGGATGCTCCAATTTCCATAATTTGTTTTTTGACAACTTTGGAATTTGTGGCTGCATCATATCCGTCATTGTTGGATCGAAAGTGGCTCTGATACCACTTGTTGGAAATATAATAGTAAAAGACAAATTAATGGAGACTGAATAGCACTTTCTTATTGAAAAACAACACTCAAAGTTACAAAGACTTTTCTGCACTTTCTTTTCTCAACAGTGCTGTGGCTCTCTTCTTTTTTTTCACTTGATTTTTTTCACATATTGAATATATATAACACCAATCTATTTATAACTTCAATTCAGCCAACGTAATGCTTCTCCAACCGCTTCACTGATTGACCGATTCCACTTACTCACCCATTTAACACATGGATAACACCACACATTACTTAGTCTTAATACATAACACCTGACATCATGACTATTAACTAACCGATTACAACATGCACGGCTATTACATTTACTTAATACAAGGACAGCAATAAAACAACTTGACACCTATTAATTTTACAAACGGTGCAAAGATGAGTTTGGTATTTCTAACAAAGAATCATTTTTGTTTGTTTTCTAATGATTTCAGAATATCATGCTAAGGAAGCTAGACGGGACCCTTACTATTATTGCTAAAGATTGAGTTTGTTGGGATCTCTACCTTCCGGATTAGGGATACCTCTGCCTTACCTGTGCTCTTTTTTATTTATAGGACAATATGTTTAGGGATCTTGCCTTTGAAAGTGGGATTGTTATAGGAGTAGTAGCCATATGAAATTTATTTGCAAATTTTTTTCCATATTATGAAATAATGACCGAAGTATATAGTATGAAAAGAATGAATGTGAACTGATTGTTCGTAGGATTGTATGATGGGTTGTTACAGGAAGAAAAGTAGCCATATAATAGGAAATAGATCGAAGATGAATTATATTGCATGCTATCAGGAAACCTATTGCTGTAGTAATTAATTACATCATTTCAAATAAAAGCTAAGAATAGGACCATAAGAATTTATGGAGGAGACACCTTAGATTACGTATGTTTTCCTTGTATTGATAATGCAGTAATCGTGCACAATTCGACAACCATTATATATTGATGAAGCATAGATAATTAGTAGTGTACACACAGAAGATTCACTGAGTATTAAGAGAGTACTTGGCTCACTCAGAAAGACTTTTCTTGATTTGTTACGCAGATCAGATAAAAAGAAAATCAAATAAATTTTATAGAAAAGTAGAAGACATACATGATGATTTCCTATATCTTATTCAGAGGATATCTTTAGTAATATAGAGCACCTAAGAAAAATTTGGTAAGAAGAATTTTATTATCCTTATGATCATACCTAGCTTGAAATGTGTTATAGTTGGATAATTAATAAATCGGTAGAGAAATTAAAAAAAAAATACAAAAAAGGACTCAAATAGTCAAATGACATAAACCACAAATGAGTGGGTTAAAAGTACAATAAAATGAGTTAAATATATTCAGTATTAGAGAGTACTAATGAATATATTTTCCTTTTTTTATTGTCCTTTGATCATTGTAAAAAAAAAGGTGTAATATTACTGTAAAAGTTTTTAATATTATCACTTAATCAAAAATTAATATGTTATTAAAAAGGTTTGATAAAATCACAATTTTTTTAATAATGTAATAATGGATAATTGAGTAATAGTATAAAAAAAAATTATTATATGATAGTATTAAAATAAAACTTGGAAATAATCTTCTATGTTTATATACTTCTCCATTATACGTTGCCAAATTGTGATTTATAAGCTATAAATACATGAATAAGGTAACCTTTCATTAGGACAAAAAATCCCGAACAAAATATTTCGATAATTTATATAATTATTTTTTTGCTGTGCCCATTGATATGAAAGAACAAGTCAAATTCAACTGGCAAATCGAATGGAAGTGTAGAAGAAAAACAGTACATATGGCCAAATCACTACAGGTTGTCAAAATCCAAACAGCTGAAACCCACATGCTAATTATTGACCACGTTTTAGAGTAGTAATACCTCATCCTGTAACACACGTTCAGGGTCAAGCTCATAACTTCATGGCTCTTGTTCAATGATTTTGGTTGTGATTTGAATAAAAACGCCCTTGCAAAGAACCATGCAATGCATCGAATTTGCAAGCGAGTTAAATATAATTATTGAATTAAGTCGTAAGAAAAGAATGAATCAATGTGGATTTATTAATGTTGCAGGATTGTACGATGGATTATTACACCAAAGAAGAGTGACCGTGTCGTAGTTGGAAATAGAGGAAACAAAAGGGCAAAAGGAAGCCCGCAAGAATGGATGAATTGTATTCAATGCTACTAGTAAACCTATTGTGAAAATAATAGTAAGTACATGATTTTAAATAAATGCTAAGAATAGGGCCATGAAAATTTATGAAGGAAACACCTTGCTTTGCCTTTACGTATAGTCTCCTTGTTTTAATAATGCAGCGATCATGAACAATTTGAAAATCCCCAGCATTGATGAAGTATACTAAATAGTAGGGAACACAATATGGAAGATACACAAAGAATATAGGCTCACTCAAAGTAGGCTTTGCTTTAATTGTAACGCATATCAGATAAAATCAAATCAAATAAAATTTATAGGAAAATAAAAGAAGACACTATCCGTACGTGTTGATATATATTTTATCAAAATTGTGGAATCTGAGGTTTTCTCGTTCTTTTTCCAATACCTTATTTTAGATATTCGTCAACTAGTACTCTATAATTAAGATAGGATCCCTAGAAGCATATTTTACAATAGCTAAAGGATCCTTTAACTTAATCAGATATTTCGAAAACTAATATTCTGTAACTAAGATAGTATCCCAAAAAGTATATTTTACAATAGTGATATATAGGATCCTTTTATTCAAGTACTAAAGTTAACGATGTGTCTATCAAAAAAAAAAAAAGTTAACGATGTTATATTCGTATTTTTTATCTTTCCTTATTTATATTATTAGAATCTTAAAATATTATTTTAAATAATTTATTTGATTAATTTAAATTAAAATATTAAGTTAATTTTTATTAGAATTAAAATTCTAATATTACTTAAAATTGATAAATACTTTTAAAAAAAATAATATTTAGATAAATTTAAAAAAGATGAAATATTTTTACCCGTTTATTTCATAATTTGTTTCTTTGATTCGAGTCTTTATTGTAATAAAAAAAAAAAGTAAAGTCAATTTTGGGTTCATAACAAAAAACATGATTTTCACTTTAGTCCCTTACAAAAAAAAAATTAGTCGCTGATCTCTATGAAATTCAAAGTGGACTTATTTTAGTCCTTTTGAGGGACTAATATGGGTCTTTTTTGAATTTGTGAGAGATCACGATTTTAACTAAATGGGTCTACTTTGAATTTCTAATTAGGGACTTTGGGACTAATTTTTTTTTTTGTAAGGAACTAAAGTGAAAATCATATTTTTTTGTTAGGGACCTAAATTGGCTTTACTCTAAAAAAAAAATTAGTCTAATGTTAGTGTAAAAAAATAATTATATTATCACTCAATCAAACATTGAGGTGTCACAATAAAAGTTTAATGCTAACAACAGATATCTCCAAAGTCACAAATAATAGATAATTGCGGGATAGTAAAAAAAAAATTATAACTAATAATGTATTAAAATAAAACAAAAAATAATAATTTTCTAAATTGATGTACTTCTCCATTATATTTTGGTTTGTGAACTACAAACATATGAATAACGTAATCTTTCATTGGAAAAAAATAAAAAAAGTCACAATAAAATATTTCGATAATATATATAAATATTTTATTTTGCAGTGGCCATGTATATATGAAAGAACAATTCAACAGGCAAACGGAATGGAAGTGTAGAAGAATAGAAACAATACTTACATATGCCATCAACGGTTGTCAAAATCCAAACAGCTGACAACCACACATGCTAATTATTGACCAAGTTTTAGAGTAGTAAGTAATACCTCCTGTAACACGTTAAGGCTCCAGCTCATAGCTTCATGGCTTGTTAATTAAAATTTTTTGGTTGTGGTTAAAAAAATAAAAATCCTATAGCGAAAAGCGAGATAAATATAGTAATGAAAAAGTCAACATTAATTGCCTAAGTCATTATCTTGAAGCACTATTATTACTCGGCGATGTCACCAATGAAAGCACGAAACCTCGTAGAACTTCCTTGGTGAGCGTTGGAAAGGCAAAGTCTAAGGTGAAGGGAAATTGAAGAACCCACGATTTCTGCGTCGTTAGTCCTTGACCTGAGTCATAGTGGTATACTTTTTTCAATGGAGCCATCACATCACATCATTGAGTCATTGAAGTAGACGGGGGGTGCAGCAATTGAAGTTAAATTTGGGCGACATATCCTATTCCATCCACCGTCCTACATTAAGCGGGGTTTCTTCTTAGTTTTTTTTTTTCTTTGGGGGGGTTCCCGAGTGGGGTATTATTCATGTGGGAGAGGTTTGGCTTGTGCTCCGTAAAATTAAAGTTGTGCAGAGACAGTTGCTGGCTTGCTCTATAGTTGACCTTTTGCTCCTTTAAAAACCTTCATTCAGCGCACAATTAATGCTCTGCATGATCCACCCCATTTGTCACTTCCAGGTTGCATGTTTTTATTTTCTAAGACTTTTAATTTGTATAGTTCAAGAAAATTTTAAAATTTTGAACTATTAGAATTAATTACGATAATTATAAAATTCAAAATGGAACGTAAATAAAATTAAGAAAGCCGTTTATTACTGAGCTGTTGTGTGACATAACGAAGTCTCTATCTGTCGGACTCGATGGCTGAAGTATATCACTATTAAGGTGTTTTTAGAAATGATGAAATAGAACAAAGCTCTTGGAAGAGTCATTATACATATATTCTCAAATATGGACTCGATGACGACTTTACATTTTAGCAGAGTACTTATTCACGAAGATAATTGATGCCAAATGACTCCTTAACGGTTGAAGAGTGGTATATATATATAAGTAGAAATAATATT